CAGTATCCATAAATTTGTGCGCTTCGTCATCAGTAGGAGAAGTATCACTGGTTGATGTATTGCTTTCTGATGGTATAAAGGTGAGGTCTTTAACATTGACAAGCTTACTAACTTTCCTAGAGCAGGCTTGTTGGCATTTGTCTGTTGAATATGTGAGCTGGTGGTTGGCGTAAGCCTAGCAGTCAAAGCCACTTCAGGAAGCACTTTAGGTTTTTCATGCATAATAAATACCTGATTAGCATGTTATTAAAGCAATAGACTAAAAGAACCAAAAAGAAGGTACCGTTATCTGCAAAGTATCGCCATCAAGACTTGAGTTGGCACCTTCGTTCGGCGGTAACTTCTTTGTTGCTGAAGTAGTTTTCGCCACATTAATGGTAGTGGCTTTATTTTCTTTCTTAATTTTTGGGAACATGAGCCACTTTAGGGCTGGCAGGAATTCTCCTCATCCCAGTACCTCTAATCTTCTTCTTTTGGGGAATGTGCTTTGGGGAGAGATCTTCTGCGTTAGCAAGATCAACACCCGTAGCTCCGAAAGCGCCTTCAACAATTTGATCTTCACCCTGAAAGAGATAAAGTGTAAAAGTAGGAGACGAGCGTAAGACAGAAGCAATATAGCAGTACTTTATATGGCTATCATGTTTTATACCTGAGCAGGGTCTAACGAAGTTCTCTCAATAACTTGTTTAAGAAGAGCTTCAGCCCTCACGTTTCCCCGGGTTCTCTTCTTAAAAGCGATATTTGTTATATTGGAAGAAGGTAATATCAAAGAACCCAGAAGGTTAGAAAATTTTAAAATAGAATGGAGAATAATTTAATGAAGTAAAACTTGAGTCTTTCCTCACCTTCATGTATGGGCGTTTCAACCCTGACATCCTGAATGTCGACATGAAGGTGACCTCGGAAACTGCATAGATCTTGTTTAGTCAGAGTCACACGATGCATAGGCTTTTGACACTCATTCTTATGATCCTTCAAAAATTCCCCGCAAACATACTGCTGTGGAAACAGAGGGGTGAAGGCTAGAGCTAGATCACTAATTGGCAGTGGGGGAAATTTCAGAGTATAAGATTTGAGGGAGAAGTTGTACCTATCTCTAACATAATGATGAATATTTAATTCAGGAAGTTTCGCTGTTAATTTATCTTTAAGAGTTTTAACTGCCTCGCTGATCGTCTGTTTAAGATCATTTAGATCATACACAATTTCAAAGTACTTTTGGAAAGCTTGAATTTCTTTAACATGAATCGATATACCTTTCTTGAACTGTTTCTGCAAAGAAGCGAAAACGTCAGTTATATGTTGCCTTATAGTATCAGCATCAAGGAATTCTTTGTTGTAGAACTCCTGCCACCATGTTTTGAAGGCAGAGGTGCAATAGAACTGGGGTTCTAAATTGGAAAGCTTGAGTTGTGGTCACTGCCAGAATGGCGGGTAAACTTTTGTAGCTGTTCATCCTCAGAATAAATGAAGGTGCTGAGATAAAGTTCACTTTTCTTGCTGTAGAAAGGACGAGGTATAGTCTGGCAAATGCCAAATTGCACGACACCAAGTTTGGCTGATAAGCGACTATCCTTACATGTTCTTTGGTAGCTTCTAGACAAAAAGAGAGGAGTCTCGGAGTGAGGAAAGTTGATCAAATGCTCTTATTGCCTTTGTCCTTATTACCATTGCCTACGAGTGGTCGAGTGAACCACTCAGGACCATGCATCTGTCGGGCGAAAGGAGCCATGGTGGGTGTATAATTATGGCGCCTTATGAACATGAGCAAGTATAAAGCAAAAGTATCTTGATCTGCTTTGCTCTTATCATAAGGAGTAAGGAGGCTCAATCGAACTCCTTCGCTTGTCTGTTGGATGATAGCTGGGTTATTGTCATTAAGACACCTAACCTTTAGTGAGGTTTCAAAGGTGGCATTAAGCCACAATTGTAATTGCCAGAAGGAGCCAGCAAGAAGAAGTTTATCTTGGGGCCCTATGTTTCTTAGAATTTCAGTGGCTTTGCTTAGTGCATGGTATAAATAGCCTAAGATCAGTTGGCCAAATTTAACTTGTTTTCCTTCATGAAGCTGGTTGGCAAGAGTCAAGTACCTCTTTGCTACCTTTAAGGTTTTACTGCAAAAAACGTATCTGGACAGCCAAAAATCCAGGAAAGAGATGTGTTCCTCCATGGTCACATCAGGATCGCCCTTAACATGGTGATCTTCAATAAATTTGGTGAAGCCAACACGATTCTCGTCAAAGTCAATAGTATCTGAATCAAGCTCAGAGGGATCAAAATCCTCCCCATCTGGCCGAAGGCTAGTTATGGCCGCCACGTCGAAGAGCGTGGGTGTTAGCATCCCACATGGGAGTTGAAAGGTGTTGGTTGTGCTGTCCCAAAAGTATATTGCTGCGACCAACAAATTTTAGCAATATGATGGCCTGATTCTCGATAATTGAATTAATTTGAAGATACCTAATTCCTTCCAAGTGGTGCCCATTTTGTTCTCTACCTTATCTAACAAAGGAATATATTCCTTACTATGAGTTAGGGGTGCAGAGCAAAAGACTCACAGATAATTGACTAGATATCCTAAGTCTATGGTTTTCTTGATGTTGTTCACGGGTTTCGTCCTATGATATGAAGGAAATAATTCATTTGACTTAGAAAGATCATCTTTACTACTGTTGGGAACAAAAAGTATGTACCAGAACCTCCTAATCTTGAGGAAAAACTTTGTAACTTTAAAACTCAGGTACTGATCCCTTTCTCTTTAGATGTTCCGAAGCTAAGAAATCAAGATGCTAAGAAGATTAATGTTGGCTACTTATTCATGATTGGAGGTTCTCCAATCTTTTGGAGTTCAAGGAAGCAAGGAATAATATCATTATCATCTTGTGAAGCTGGATATGTAGCAACTTTTTATGCAGCATGTCAAACTTTGTGGATAAAAATGTTGCTAAAAGAGCTCAAGGTTATGGAATTGTTAGCTGAGATTTTTGATCAGAGAAGAAAACCCAACCAACGGGTGTAACACATGTGAAAGTTATGGTTCACCCATAACTTGGACTTAGAATAATATTGGTGTTGTTGAGAAGTCATCGACACCTATCCCTTCTATCAGTTGGACATGGCGTCGCAACAAAGATGGTTAAAGAGGTGTTTATTTGGGCGTAATTATATCACGTTCAAAATTCAGATAACTGCCTAAGTTCTTATCTCAAAAGAGACACGTGGAGACGGACAGAAAGGAGAATTGCTGCGTGCAACATTACACGTGGTGTGCTGGAGGGAAGAGGACGTTAGATGGTAGTTACTGCAGATTTGTATATATAGTAGTTTATTTGATTGAATTAGAGGTGTTCGTTGTTTTACAAAATTCTCACTAAACAAACTCAAAGTATCAAGTGTAAGAGAAACGAGAAAATGACTGAGAATGTGTAAGCATAATGGAACACCATTATTTTACCTTTCATGCAAGGCTTTTAAGATTCAATAAAGTCATTAATCTTAGTTTATATTTTTGTTACTTTCCATTGTCATTTTCCAGTTTTCCTTTTTATCTTTATTTTTAAGTTTACCAAATACTTGTTGTTTTTCATTTCAAAGTTTCTTGTAAGAAGTTTTGAACAATTGATTCCTTGTGTTGTGTAGACACATGTTCTTTGATTGAGTTGAATTCAATCATACTAAGAGACAAGATAATTACGAAATAAATAGGAATCTTAAGCACTATGTCCTAGAATTCACTAGTTGATCCTGCAAGTAAACCGTGAGTTTGGAGACTAGTGATTGTTTGTCATTTTTCAGGGTAAACAAGAACATAAGAAGATGAAGTTGTTTGTAGATAAAAAATCAGCTATAAACTTAGTTAACCACCCTATGTGCCATGAAAGGGATAAGCACATGAAGAGGAGGTATCACTTTCTTAGTGAATAGGTAAATAAAGGGAAGCTCAAGCTGAAGTATTGCAGATCAGAAGTGAAGCTAACTGACATACTCACAAAATCATTGAAGAAGACAAGGTTTGATGAGTTGAAAGAACTTATTGGAATGAGAAATTTAGATAATATGAATTAGATGGAGTGTTGAAGATGTATAATTCATATTATAATTGTTCTAGTAGTTATAAAGTTTGTAAGATTAGTTACAAAGTTTGTGAGATTAGCTACAGTGAGATTAATTACAAAGTTTGTAAGATTATTTACAAAATTTGCGAGATTAGTTACAAAGTTTGTGAACTAATTGAGACTTGTAAACATGTATATATACATGTCACTATGTTGTAAATAACAACTATTCTCTCTCAATAATAAAATTTTTACAATAGTATTTTCTTACAACCAATTTAATATCTTTCTTTCTTTACTCTCAAGAAACACAAGATTGTTCCAACAATTGATACTAAAATGTCAGTTTTTCTGCACCTTAGATTATTACTAGATGGGTAGGCCCAATCTACAATATTTTATTGACAAATACCTGAAATCTAAGAGTGTACTCATCCTAGGTTTTTTGAGGTTCTTACGGGTGTAAATAATTTATATATTGGATTAATCTATATGAACTATCGGTTAGAGCCGTCTCAAGATTTTGAAAGTTTTAGGTAGGTTATCCTCAATTTACTTGTGCTAAAATAAATATAGATTTTATTCAATTACAATTAGCTATGTAGGTTAGCTCAATTTACTTGAACTAAAATAGAGGCTTTATTTAATTATAATTTAGTTGTGACAATATTTTGAAATCTCTATTTACAAGTTCTGAGTATGTGTCCTAGTTCAAAGACAGGTGTCTTAACTCGTTTTATACGCTTCAAAGGTGACCATACAAGATGAAATTGATCTCTTGGATTAGTTGGTATTAGAGCATGATATTGAGTTTTTAAGCAAATAAAAAATTATAATATTTATATTTTGTTTTAGAAATAAAGAGGATTGAACCAAATAAGTACCGCTAAACAAGGCCTAGCTGTTTGTACATATTACAAATTATAAACATGTGAATAACAAAACAAACTACGATTGATTATCTTGCATACGCATATAATCTCCATATGATTGAGCATGATTTTCCTCATGATGAGCATAAGCATAGCCTCCATGGCTGGATATATCAAGACCAGCAAGTTCATCAGCCACAGGAATTCTTAGTAACTTGAGTTTGTGCAAGGCATAGAACATAGGCCCCATTGTTATGCTAACAAATCCAAAGATAACCAAAATCTCAACCACTTGAGCTCCAATCAATCCCCATCCACCTCCAAGTAGAAGACCATAGGGTCTTTTCACTGCCACCCCAGCATTATATGTTTGAACCACAAACCCCTCTTTGGCAAATAGCCCTGTAAACAATAATCCCCAAATGCCACATCCACCATGTAATTGAGCTGCCTCTAATGGATCATCATAGTTTAGTTTTAGTGCCAAGATGTTTAGGCCGATTAATACCCAAGCCGAGACGAATCCGCATATAATAGCGGCCCATGGCTCGACAACCGAGCACCCGGATGTGATGGCGACGAACCCGCCAATCAAACCGTTGCATACATCCATTGCATCCCAATGGCCAATTAATAATCGACGGCTGAACAATGTGACGATCCCCGCGGTCGAGCCTGCCAATGTAGTTGTCACGGCCGTCCGGCCTACCGATGTCCAATTGCCTTCATCAGATGTGTTAGGGTAGGCCGCGAGAATTTTGTCGAATGAGCCAGGATTAAACCCGAACCAACCGAACCATAACAAGAACGTCCCGAGAACCACAAGCGCGGCATTGTGTCCGCGGAAAGGTACAGCCTTTCCATAAGCATCAAACCGCCCGACCCGCGGACCTTCTATAATAGACCCCCAAAGTCCCGCAATGCCACCAACCAAATGCACCACTCCACTCCCAGCAAAGTCAATAGCCCCTGAGCCCAAGAACAAATGACTTGAATTTGGACTAAGCCAACCACTAGATGACCAAACCCAATGTGCCACAATTGGATACACAAAGCCAGTAAGAAAAAATGAAAAAACAAGATAAGCACTGAATTGTGTTCTCTCAGCAATGGACCCACTAGTTATACCTGCCACAGCTATAGCAAAAGCCCATTGGTAAAGAAAGAATCCATAGTCATAATTTTCATTTGGAATATTAGCTAAAGCAAACAAATTGGTTCCAATGAAAGGGTTGGAATTGCCATAAGCAAATGCAAAACCAAAAAGATAGAAAGAGATGCTGCCTACCACTGCATCAACTACATTGGTAAGCATTATGTTCATAGCATTTTTGGCCCGGACAGATCCTGCACATATCATGGCAAATCCTAGCTGCATTACAAAAACTAAGTAAGCAGAGAACAGAAGGTAAATTGTGTTGATAGAATAGGTGACACTTTGTTCCCATGAAACCTCCATGAGAGTGTGTTTGGTGATAAAAGGGAATAGGATGAAAGAGGAATAAAAGAATATGATAACATTTATATCAATGTACATATGATAGAATTGATAGAATGTGTATGTGCGATGGTGGTAACTTTGAACGGTAGCTAGCTACATAGCAAGTTGTTGTAGTTGGACATACAAGTTGGTTAATGTTGAGTGGTTGTGCATTCTAATTCAACCATTTTTAGTGATGGGTAGCAGATAGGCTTATCAAAATTGAGGTATACCTCAAATAAGATTGTCTCCACAACATAGCAAATTACAATTTTTAATTGTTGTTGGAAGAGATGTGTACATTTACTATTACATTTATACCTCAAAAAAGATTGTCTCATTTAAAGGATATACCTAGTATGTCATCCTCACATTAAGTCAATAATAGTATACTCTCTCACAATATAAGTCATTTCATAAAATGACACACAAGTTAAAAGCAAAATATAGTAATAATAATCCTAAACTTTCAAACAAGCAACTCAACATGAACATTGGATTAAAGATATTAATAATGAAATACACGCTCTTGACCTTTATGTTGGCAAGAAATTCATTGGCTGAATTTATAAAATTAAATATAAATATGATAGAACCATGGAAAGACATAAGATTAGATTATCGCTATATGCTTTGACCAAATAGAAGGTATATATATTTGTTAGGATTTAAGTGTGAGGGATTAAATTTCATATTGGTTAAGAATTGAAGATACGTTGAATTTATAAGAGAGGTGATCCATATACTACTATAAAATATACACTTCGTAATATGTTATTACCTTGACTATTCAATCAACCAAATTAATTGGTGATATTTAGGCATATTAGGAAGATTCTAAAGTCTCACATTGATTGGAGATAGAGCATTGAATTAGTTTATATAGAGTGACACCCTAACCTTAACAACTGGTTTTGTAGGGTTGTGTTAGGCCAAACTCTAATATGGTATCCGAGTCTATCAATCGGACCTTGGACAACCCACCGCCCAAAAAGAGTGCTGGGCGTGAGGGGGAGGGGGGGGGGGGGGTGTATTAGGAAGATCCCAAAGTCCCACATTGGTTGGAGATAGAGCATTAAATTAGTTTATATAGAGTGACACCCCTCACCTTAACAACCGATTTTGGTCATGGGTTTAAATTCCAACACCATTATTTTTGGGTTATTACTTATTTTTTTACTTATTTTTAAGCCACATTTCACCACGGTTGGAATTCCAACCGTAGTGAAAAGTGGTGCCTTATTTTCTTAAAAGATATATAATGATCTTAGCTCAGTCACTTTTTCTCTAGACGTACTTGAACAAACTTCATCTTGTAGATCAAAACTTCTTCCATTTACGACACACTATTCCTTCACTGAACAAAACTTGAAAACATAATTTCTTCCATAAACGAAACTAAAAAATTAATATTTCTTCCATTAATGAGTTTCAGAATTCCATCACCTCTTCTCCAAATTGAATGAAGCATGAAAAATATGGATTCAACTTAGTACTGTTAGTTGTTGTTTTTATTATTATGTTAGGTAAAATATTCTTGTTTAACGATTCTATTTATTTATTTTGTTGTTGTTTTTGTTTTTGTTTTTTTCGTTGTTGTCATTGTTGTTGTTGTTGTTTTTGTTGTTGTTATTTTTGTTGTTGTTGTTGTTGTTGTTGTTGTTGTTATTGTTGTTGTTGTTATTGTTATTCTTGTTGTTGTGTTAAAAATATTTAATGTTATATATTGTGATGAAAGTTATTATTGTAGTAAGGAAAAATACGTGGCAAATATGAAAATTGGGTTGATTGACCTTTCATTGCAGTTGTTTATTACAATCGTGATTATATGTAGTGCGCTTTTCAGTTTACTACCACGATCAATATATCGTGTATGTGAATATCCTACTTACAATCATACGCTACCTCACCATAGTTGCTCAACCGTGATTATAGGGCTTTCACAACCGTGATTATAGGTGTTTTCTGTAGTAGTGATAACCCATTATCTTAAGGTTTTGAGTGGATATGTGGTGTCAAAGTCTCTTAGATCCATGAACGTTTTTTCTATTAACACTCCCGGCGCTCCCCAACAAGTGGCATCAGAGCCCTGATTAGGCTCGACGGGGGAGCGAAAGTGGATCCTAGTGTGAATTAAGGCTAGTGATGTGGGTGACTCACACTTGTGTGGGGAGATTGTTGGGTTTCAAGTATGAAAGTTCTAAAAGTTTTACATTGGCTAAGAATGAAAGAAATTTTGGGTTTATAAGAGAGGTGACTCATACCCCTATTGCTTTAAGGTTTTTGGAGGATATGTGGTGTCAAAGTCTCTTAGATCCATGAACGTTTAGCCCATTAACACTTATGACGCACCCCAAACTCCCTAAAAAGTGGTATTAAAGTATGGTTAAGCTTGGTGAAGAGCGAAAGTGGATCCTAATGTGGACCAAGACTAGTAATCTGGTTGACTCAAACTCGTAGAGAGGGATTGTAAGGACTCAAGTCTGAGTGGCTAAGTATCACATCTACTAGAAATGGAGAAAATGTTGGGTTTACAAGAGAAAAAACTCGTACTCCTAATGCCTTAAGGTTTTGGGTGGATATGTGGTGTCAAAGTCTCTTGGATCTTGGACGTTTGGTCCATTGACACTTCTGGCACTCCCCAAACTCTCCAGCAAGTGGTATCTGAGCTCTGTTTGGCTTGGCGGGGGAGTAGGTGTGGATTTTAGTATGGATCAAGACTAGTGATGCAGGTGAATCACACTTGTGGGGAGAGATTGTTGGGATTTAAGTGTGAGTGGATGAGTCTCACATCGACTAGAAATGAAATAAATATTTGGTTTATAAGAGAGGTGACTCATACCATAATTGCCTTAAGGTTCTGGGTGGATATGTGACATCAAAGTCTCTTATTGTTAGGATTCAAATGTGAGTGGTTAAGTATTTGAATCGTAGTTAAATGGAGGTTTTTCTTATCGTCTCCAAAAGGATTTTCCGATATCTTGATACTTGCTTTCAATAGTTTACAGTTATAAGAAAAAAGGTTTCAATTTTTGGTTAATAAATTGTCACGATTTTTGGTAGTATAGCTTATAAATTCTAAAGTGTTTGATTAACAAAGTATATCAAAATTAGTTTTTATCTACCCTAACTTATACGTATTCTTTCAATCTTGTATGTGAAGTCAGATCCGATTAATATCATCGTGTATTCTCTCAACACCATCTATCTCTAGAGCGGTGTCGTGAGAAATATTGTATTCATCGCTACACGATCTCTCCAATAACAACCAATATAGTAAACTTTAAGTTTAATATAAAGCGAATATCAACCATAGACCGATCTCTCCAATCTATAAATTGATAGATGAATATTTTAGGTCAAGTTCCATAAAATCTATGTCTAGAGTTTTACAAAACAAGAATGGATCATTAAGAACAAAAATATTCATCATATATTAATCATCACTTGTTTACATACAAGGCCAATCAAAAGAAATACATAAAGTTAAGGTAGACTACCTCTACCTTTAATACAAGAGAAGTTGGCTACCCATAACTATGGTAGCTTGCTTTACAAGTAAAAAGAGAAGATGAATGAGCATCCACGTTGAAGATTCGAACTCGGATACGAATCCAACTTCTATTTACAAAATGTCACTCTTTGGTGAAAAAATGCTAAAAAATGAGGTTTCTATGTGGAAAATGGTTTATTATCCCCAGAAAGTGTGAAAAGTACTTATATAGTACAACTAGAATCTGCCAAGTTCGCCCAACAAACTCTATTTTATGGCACTTGAGGTGCCTCTGAACATTTAAACTGCCCTTGAAGAAATATCTGAGTTTTCCCATCAAACTATTCTTCACCCTGCGAGCTACTTCGCTACAAGTTCGCACAACCAATTTAGGGTCCTTTAGTTACTGCCTCAAAACTGGGATGGTTCGATGGTCCTTCGCTGCAACCTCGCCTAGCGAACATTCGCTTCAATTTTACCCAATGAACTTATAGTCCTTTTCTTTCTGCCTATGTCGCTACTGCGAAAATCGGCGCCGGCTATGACAGAAGAGTCGCCACCGTGCGTTATTTATCCCACAAGAGGGAAAGGAAACGCTCAGAGTAAACCTAACGCAAAACGGGAAAGGAATGGTCGTCGCAACCAAATTCCTGGATTCGATAGTCGATTACGCAAGGAGAAGGTATTAGCACCCCTCACGTCCGCCGTACTCGACGGGATCCACGCTTGTTTTCTGGTACGGATTGTTATTCTATCTACGCTAAAGGTCAAGGGACAAGAGGAAAGAAAACAGAAAAGAGACTCGATAGAGCTTCGCCGCTCTATGCCTACGTATTCCCTCGTGCAATGGGAAAGTCAGAGTCTACGTAGTTCGACTAACTACGGATAAAGGTGGGAAGGTTGCTCGCTAGGATACGACATCCTATGCCTACGTACTTTCATACAGCATGAAAGATCAGAGCAAACGTAGTTCGGGCTACGGAGGACACAAGCTTGTCTGACTGTTTTTTTATTACCTTCAAAAAGGGTTTTTCTTGATTAAGAGTCCAAGCGGACAAAAATGACACTTTGATGTTTGTTTTGAATCTTTTACGAAAGAAGTGTTTTTTAGTTTGTTTGCAATCTCCGACGCATTAGAGACTATGATTTGAGAGTGACTACGTCGCGTGTCACCCAAAGGGTGCCACACTAAGCAGCCAGACTACTGGAAAGAAGCTCTCCAGCAACCCTTTCTCAAATAGCTTAAGGTTCGTAACGTACGACGTCGATTAACCTTATTACTGTGTTTTTGAGTTATTTTAAGATGAGAAGAGAAAGAAGCTCTAAAAAACCTAGGGTTGAAAAGGGAGTAAAAACTAACCTAATGTTGTCATGCATGGATAAGAATCCTAATGTCTGTCATAATTTCCTCCTGCACAGAGGAAATCAGAGATCCTAGGGGATAAACAGCAAAGAAAGCAAGCAAATACAGTAAAATGCATGCAATGCAGCAATACAAGCGAGGCAAGGGAGTCCGACTCAACCTCGAACCTGGGAAAACAACAGGCAAAGTGAATCAACATTC